AACGACGAACAGAAGGGGAGGTAAGAGATGAGAACTGCAAAATTTGTAAGTTAGTAAAATTGTTTAATGGTAAATGTTTCGGTCCGTCGTATACATTTTTTGAAAGTCGTATACACTTCTCGCCTTGAAAGTTGCTTCCCCCGGAGTAGATTACTTGCCAGGAGATTACCAGTTGTCCAAAGACCTGTGTATTTAACAGTGTAAGACCTCTCTAATATTGCTTTGAACAGCTGTTTTTTTCATTCTTCTTTCTCGTTACTGATAAAACAACTGCTATCACTTCTTTATTCTGCTGCACTTCGAGTTATCTCCACATAGCTTTTCAAATGAGCTCTTCCGTCGCGTCAGCTGCTTTTCAATGCTCGTTTTAATTTGCTTGCACATGAAATAATCCATTTTGTCTGTTATCTTTCGTTCTCGTTATATGAACAGGGTTGATCTTCATTCTGGCGAACACTGATTACTCTCTCACCTGGATTTCTTCTTGTCATGTTAGATTGTAACAATCATTGGCGACGCGCATTGGGGGGCCCCGTGCGATCATGCGTTTTTGCAGTGTTTCGTGCTGTAATAAGATTACTCGAAGTTCCGCTTAGCTAAAGCCTCTTGTACATACTGGTCCTCGAATTTCGGAAACTTAATTATCTACGCTATAGTTGGACAGGGAACATTCCCTTGAAATCCCAGCTTTCCAGCTTTCTCAGTTCCCGAGTTACCGAAATTGCAACTAAAAAATTTCACGGGGCAATGCGCAGCCACCACACATAACGGGGAGCTGAATTTGATAAATTCAAGTTGTAGATGAGTTGAGAACATTTCCTGAAAATTTCAGCCTCCTAGCTTCCCTGGTTCTAGAGTTATTCATTTTCCCGCCAAAAATTTTCACGGGGCCACACGTGGCAGCCACGCATGGCGGGGGGCTGAATTTGCTAAATTTAAGTTGTAGATGAGTAGTGAACATTTCCTGAAACTTTCAGCCTTCCAGCTTTCCTGGTTCCCGAGTTAGCGATTTTCGCGCCAGGAACCCTCAGGGGGCCGTACGTGGGAATCACGAATCCCTGGGGGCTGAATTTGAAATCTTTGGGCTCTAATTGGACTGGAAACATAATCCCAAAATTTCAGCTTTTTAGCTTTGCTGCTTCTCAAGTTAGCGATTTTCCCGCCAAAACTTTGAGGCGCTCGTACGCGGGGCCTAGACGTGCCTGAGGGTTGGTACCGCGGTCCTGAGGTGACACTTGCTCGGGGAACCCACTCGCAAAAATTTTGGCGCCGGAGCTTGCTTGGGTGTCGAGTTGAAATACCCGGACAGACGCGCACACACACGCACACACACATACGCACACACACACAGACAGACACACACACGCAAACACACACACACGTACATACGCGCACACACACACAGACATACACACACACACACACCGAGGTCGTCGTAATATGCGTTTTCGCATTTGCATATTATGCAAAAACGCATAAAAAGAAGTAAGCCAGGACTATTTTTTCACTGTTTTTTTACAAGAAAAATTTTTTTCCTCTTTGCTCGCTCCACCCTTCTTTCCTAGATTATTAGGAAATGGCAGTTCTCTTTCCTCAAGAGTAATTTACTTTTTCCCCTCCTTTTTCATCCTCGCGGTATCAATAGAGGCATAACAGCGGTAAACGATATGTATTATGTTTCAGTAAAAAATAATTTTTATAGCTTTTCATTATTGGGCCAGAAAAAACTTTGAAGCTGTCGATTCTGTATCCGGCAACAACGGGAAGAAATTTCGAGTGAGTAGTATTTAAAATTGTGAATTTATATTTCAGGGAATATATTAATTCTTAATTATAGGAACCATCAAATAAGAAAGTAGTGGTGTGCGAAAAATGTCTTTCGCCTTGGCACGCATCACCTCTTTTGCTGGCAGGCTGAGACATAGTTTTGTCCCGAAATAATTGTTTTGATAGCTCATGAATGCAAAACTGAAGTAATCACGGAACAGTGGCATTTCCAGAAAGGAGACGAAAAGGGAAGAAAATTGCTGAGGGCCGAAACATAACTCTTGTAGCAGCAGGACTGAAATAATCTGCGGATTCTGGAAAGATTAAAAGAAGTTGTGCCGAGTTTGTTTTGATATCCTAAATCCAGGAGATTTATCCGATATTCCCTAAGTTGAACCATATTAAAGGACGGGGATAATTGTAATCCATGGACAGCCTAGCACCGTTTTGTTAGGATCGTGAGTAGGCTGACCACCAGGCGATGCAGCACTGGTCAAAGCAACTGTGGAATTGTGAAGATTGTCAATCTTAAATGAAGAACCTTACTCTGAGTTAACAGCTCTCCTGGCTCCCAGGTATCATCACTCCAAAATAGGTCCTAATCTTGCTCCATGTTGTGTTTCAGTGAAATCTTGCGCGTGGTCGATTCATTACAGCTTACAAAGTACAAAAAAGTAGCGACGCCGGTGGATTGGAAGGTTAGTGAATGCTTACGCAAACTCTTCATGCCATCAGTTTATTCCTTATGCTATGCTGAAAAAAGTTTGTACTTGAGGTTTCACTTCATACTATGATATCATGTGGGCCCAGAAGGGATCGAATATCCCATCTTTACTATCTCTGGGTACTTCACTGATGCTGCTTTGTTATTTATACTATCGACCTTTCTGCTCTGGAGTCATTCTTTAGAACTTTTTATGCGTTCTGTATTGCAACAGTTGCACAAAATGCATACTGTCGAGACCCTTCGTGTGTTACTAGTGTATTTTATGCAAAATTTTGAACACGGGGATCAGAAAAGCCAGGAAATTCGAATTCAAATTTAAATTCAAATTGCGAATCCAAATTCAGCTCCCAGATATGGTCATATGAATGTTTTTGTGCCAATAACGCGGGAAGCACAAAGGAAGCTGAAATTTTAGGAGGAGTGTTCCTTGGCCGCTTATGCCTCGGTTTTATGTACGGACTTAGAAGGTTTTGGCGCCAAAATTGACTTAGGGACCAAAGAAATTTCCATACACATTGAACAGCAAAGCAGTGAACTCTTCTAACAGCGAAAATCTCTGGGATTGAGTTGTACAAGCGTCCGCTGAACAGAGTTGTGCGAAACGCGTGATCACACCAACCACCCTGTTGCACGCTGTTATTTATTAAATAATTGACGGCTTTCTGTAATTTTTTCTTGTTGGTATCCGAGTAACATTCCGCCACAAAAACGCTACGACACATTGTTTTGCGAGGCAGTTCACTGCTTTATATGTGGTTAATTTTTTTGACTACTGCTAGTCTCTGACGGTAGTTATGGGCTGCGCAAGATGTCGTGTGGAATACACTGGGATTATGTATTGCTATTTTACTTCTATTTTAAGGAGGGAGATCCTTGCGTGGTTGAGCCACAGTTGGACGATAAAGAGGCGAAGACATTATTTGGCGATAACATCAAAACAATTGAATTGCCTTCTGGGAAACGTTACCTGCGTATGGTCGCGCAACCAAAATAAACAACAGCAAGGGTTCCAGGAATTAATTACACTGGACATCCTGTCTATTCGCGTAATTTGCTATTTGTTAAAGCGACAACTTTTCATGCTATAAATTACATTTTTGTACTGCAACACTCACTCATGAAATATATCTCCTTTAATAAAACCATTTCACTCCTTACAATCGAAAAATAAACAGCTAGCGCACCGATTGCCGGTGCGAAGAGTTCCCCGCACATTTTTGTAGCTAACAGCACTGTTTTTGTGGCAAGTGCTTCTAGCTAAAAGAATTGAGACGGTCAGGACTGTCAGGAAATATCCCTTTAAAATTTCAAGGGCCCGCACATGAGAATACGCATACTCGGGGGCGGGGTTGAACTCACTAGGTTCTGCGCGAACAGAAGATATCCCCTTGAAATGACAACTTTGTAACTTTTCGGTTTCCAGAGTTAGCAACTTACTCGCAAAAAACTTTCAGGAGCTCGTGCATAGGAATCACACATACCCAAGGACAGTGTCTAAACTCTTTAGGACCTACATGGATGTGGAACATTCCATTAAAATTTCAATCTCTAGCTTTTCTGGTTCTCAAGCTAGCAGCTTACCCGTTAAAAACTTTGGCGGGCCCTTACGGAGGAGAGGGAGGGACCACGTGGGTAAGAGTGCCAATTTGGGGGTGACTTCCCATACGTGCATGTAGATTAAATTTCCAAAGTCTCAGTCCTGTAGCTTTTGTAGGTCTCGAAATGAAAAATCAGTACAGACACACACGCAGACACACACAGACAACCCCTCGTCGGTCTGCGTTTTCTGCACTCCATAGATGCAAAAAACGCATAATAAGTCTTTAAGGTCCTCAGTTATAATCTCCACTTCATTACAAGATTACCAAGACCAATTGACAGTTGGTAATAGGAACAATTGTTAGTGGTATTTCGCAAACAGTGGCAGTTTTAATGTGCGTTTTTATTTTGGCGAATTACATTTGGTGATGTCGGTGCTGACCTGCAAAATGGATTGTTTGATATGCTCGATTGCTGCACCGATTTACAGTGAATTGAGGAAGCTGCTTGCTAGTTATCGAGGACACCGTAGAGTTTAACCTCGTTCTTGAAGACTTTTATCATTAAGCATATTCACCTTCGTAGTGTCTGTTACGTTCAATGCATTTTTTATGGAAATGGGTACGCATACGTGCCCATTTCCATAACCCAGGCTGGAACGCACCAGGCTCCCCAGTGCGATCATGCGTTTTTGTACTAAACTCGTAGATCGTTATTAGCAGGAATGACCCCTACGCTGTAGCCTAACACTTGGGCTAATATTGGCCGTGATCCTTACCAGCATGCAGGAGGAAGGGCATCAGTTGGGATGAAGGTGGTGCATTACAGTTGAGATGAAGGTGGTGCACATCCAGGTGCATAATTACCGGTTTTTTGCATGAAGTCCGGTCGTTTTTTCGGTTAATGCTCGTTTTGTGAAAAAATGACAAATGCAAATTTTTTGAAAAAATGCAAATTTCCA